GTAAAGTGTTTCATGAGCTGAAATAAAAGATCCCAGAAATGTTCCACATGCACAAAAAGCTTATTTCTCTCATTTTGTGCACAGTTATTTTTACATCAGTTAGTGAGCATTTCTCCTTTGCCAAAATAATCCATCCACCTGACAGGTGTGGCATATCAAGAAGCTGATTAATCAGCATGATCATTACACAGGTGCACCTTGTGCTGGGGACAATAAAAGGCCATTCTAAAATGTGCTGTTTTGTCACACAACACAATGCCACAGATGTCTCAAGTTTTGAAGGAGCGAGCAAATGGCATGCTTACTGCAGCAATGTCCACCAGAGCTGTTGACAGAGAATTTAATGTTAATTTGGAGGCCAATGTCGTTTTAGAGAATTTGGCAGTACGTCCAACTGGACTAAAAACCACAAGTAACTACGCCAGCCCAGGACCTCCACATCCGGCTTCTTTCACCTGCGGGATCGTCTGAGACCAGCCACCCGGACAGCGGATGAAACTGAGGAGTATTTCTGTCTGTAATAAAGCCCTTTTGTGGGGAAAAACTAATTCTGATTGGCTGGGCCTGGCTCCCCAGTGGGTGGGCCTATGCCCAGTCATGTAAAATCAATACATTAGGGCCTTATGAATTTATTTCAATTGACTTTTTCCTAACTGTAATTCAGTAAAATCTTGGAATTGTTGCATTTATATTTTTGTTTATCAGGTCTCGTCAGTAGCCTAGGCTGAGGGAACACACACCCCGGATGCCGAGCAGACATCCACAGAATGTAAACACAGAAGCCCCGCCAAGATGCCTCGTTCTACAATTACCACAGACGCGACGACACAACCAAACATGAGCATATTAGTCTTTAGGACTGTTATCATGATCTGAAAACAATCATATATCCAACTCACCAATAAATGAATAAATAGTCCCGTTGCCTTCGGGAGAAAAATAACTGAAACCGAGCAATGGTATTCCATAATCGGTTGGTGGGAAAATATTCCAGTCTCACAATTAGGTTTATGCATAAATCAATGACGAATAGAAAACGCGATTGAGTTTGTCAAAAACAAAAATGTCGTTGTTTTTATAATGTTGTAGAACAGGAAGCCATGTTGTCATCATAAAGAGGAGGACGTAGCATACTTCTCCGCTCACCGGTTAAACCGAGATCATTTATATAAAACCTCATCAACATTCAACTAGGGTCCATAAAAAAATGTGTTTTGCCTCAGCGATCAAACGACCGTTTGACAATAAAATGTAAGAATGGCCTTTGTATCCTAGGAAATTGTCTTGTTACGTCGTGTTAGTTGCTCAGGCTACAGCCAGAGAGAGAGAGAGAGAGAGAGGCATCCGTAGAGTTGCTAAAAATAGGAAGCTTGTGAACTAAACCCATTACTACCTGGAGTAGTCGCGCACAACCTTTCTGTCAAATGAAACAGTGTAGTATTGGAGCCTAACAGTAGTGTGGACGGGAGAACAGTGTAGTGTCAACGTTGTAACAGCACAGTAGGCAGGGGAAACATTGCATCAATATTACTGTTATTAGACACCGCGGCAGATTAAACATTATAACATGTTCTCATCCAAATAGCCTAGCCTTAGCGAAATCCTACCAAATGGAGACTAGAGTCAAAGATGTTTATAACTAAACCGAGATAGACCACAGCCTGTCGTTTCAAATGGGAACAAATGAGTCATAGTGGGCAGAGCAAGCACGAGCTAGCGAGATCCTATTGGCGCGTTCTAGCATATATTTGCATATTTCCATTAGGAAACGCCCACTCTATGAAATGCCTCTATGTCTCTAATCTGTACCAACCTGGTCATTTAGCTATGTCTCTAATCTGTACCATTATATAAAATGCTACAACAAAAACAATAGGCCTACAGGCATTAGAGAAAGAGAAACAACAATGTGTTAAACCAGCTGCTAGTACAGTAGACTACAGTCAACATGAGTACAGTAGACTACAGTCAACACGAGTACAGTAGACTACAGTCAACACTAGTACAGTAGACTACAGTCAACACGAGTACAGTAGACTACAGTCAACACGAGTACAGTAGACCACAGTCAACACGAGTACAGTAGACCACAGTCAACACGAGTACAGTAGACCACAGTCAACACGAGTACAGTAGACTACAGTCAACACGAGTACAGTAGACTACAGTCAACACGAGTTCAGTAGATTACAGTCAACACGAGTACAGTAGACAACAGTCAACACGAGTACAGTAGACCACAGTCAACATGAGTACAGTAGACCACAGTCAACACGAGTACAGTAGACCACAGTCAACACTAGTACAGTAGAAGACAGTCAACACGAGTACAGTAGACTACGGTCAACACGAGTACAGTAGAATACAGTCAACACGAGTACAGTAGACTACAGTCAACACGAATACAGTAGACTACAGTCAACATTAGTACAGTAGACGACAGTCAACACGAGTACAGTAGACTACGGTCAACACGAGTACAGTCAACACGAGTACAGTAGACTACAGTCAACATTCCAAAGGGATAAAATAAAGTAACGGAAGTAGGAATAGTCCACTCAACATGCTGTAAGTGTAACATTCTAGTAGGAATAGTCCACTCAACATGCTGTAAGTGTAACGTTCTAGTAGGAATAGTCCACTCAACATGCTGTAAGTGTAACGTTCTAGTAGGAATAGTCCACTCAACATGCTGTAAGTGTAACGTTCTAGTAGGAATAGTCCACTCAACATGCTGTAAGTGTAACGTTCTAGTAGGAATAGTCCACTCAACATGCTGTAAGTGTAACGTTCTAGTAGGAATAGTCCACTCAACATGCTGTAAGTGTAACGTTCTAGTAGGAATAGTCCACTCAACATGCTGTAAGTGTAACGTTCTAGTAGGAATAGTCCACTCAACATGCTGTAAGTGTAACGTTCTAGTAGGAATAGTCCACTCAACATGCTGTAAGTGTAACGTTCTAGTAGGAATAGTCCACTCAACATGCTGTAAGTGTAATGTTCTAGTAGGAATAGTCCACTCAACATGCTGTAAGTGTAATGTTCTAGTAGGAATAGTCCACTCAACATGCTGTAAGTGTAACGTTCTAGTAGGAATAGTCCACTCAACATGCTGTAAGTGTAACATTCTAGTAGGAATAGTCCACTCAACATGCTGTAAGTGTAACGTTCTAGTAGGAATAGTCCAACTCAACATGCTGTAAGTGTAACGTTCTAGTAGGAATAGTCCACTCAACATGCTGTAAGTGTAACGTTCTAGTAGGAATAGTCCACTCAACATGCTGTAAGTGTAATGTTCTAGTAGGAATAGTCCACTCAACATGCTGTAAGTGTAACGTTCTAGTAGGAATAGTCCACTCAACATGCTATAAGTGTAATGTTATTGGGGAGTTGTGTTTTCATTTTGTTGGTCAGACAGTGCTAAATAACAACCCCTCAGCAGCTCTACATTCATCCCAGACCAGGCTGTAGGATAAGTCCCAAATGGCACCCTATTCCCTATATAGTGCACTACTTTAGATCAGGGACCATCAAAAGTAGTGCACTATAAAGGAAATAGGGTGCCATTTGGAATGTATCCTACAGGAAGCCATAAAAAGGATCTGAGAGCTGAGGGGGAGATTTCTGCTGAGTCATTTCCACCCAGATACAAGGTCCACACGCATGGCAGACACACACACACACAACCAGGAGGAGAGAGTATGAACAGCCAGCCATGGATCCTATGTTATAACAGCCAGCCAGGGATTTAAAACCCCATTCAAAACATAAAATACAGATTGGGTTACTTTCAAGAAGTGTTACAGTTCACTGGATTACATGTAAAGTTATAGTCCAGTAAAGTAAATCATCATCGTTCAAATCACTCAGCATTATGCAACTTCCCTTTTTATACAACAACATGTGGACATGTGGAAAGTGTTACAAAATAAAATATATTCAATCCCAAGTTTAGTAGGTCAGTTTAAACTATAACAGGAACAGTTTAGTAGGTCAGTTTAAACTATAACATGAACAGTTTAGTAGGTCAGTTTAAACTATAATAACTTAATAGCTGTGGAATCAAATGCACTTTGGCTTTTCATTTCAGTTCAAGGTAGCTAGTTGGTATACACACACATCCTACCCCACCCCCCCCCCATTCCTCCTTCCTCCCTCCCTCCCTTCCTCCCTCCCTTCCTCCCATGACTCAGTTGTGATGATAGCATGTCATTCCATCACAGATACATGGCATGCTGTCTAGTAGATAACAGATAAGCCCAATGCTGAAGGTGATGACTCACCCTACACGTCTCAGCAGAATTAGCGACCCCTGTGTGTGTGTGTGTGTGTGTGTGTGTGTGTGTGTGTGTGTGTGTGTGTGTGTGTGTGTGTTTTAATTACCCTGCTTAGACAGAGAGCTTTCTGTCTGAGAGAGTGATGCCATGACAGGTCAAAATGCCCCAGTAGTGCCTTTCTTCAAGTTCTTCTGGTTTTATGAGTAGACCAGTGGATGGGAACACTATATCCAACTGAATAGAATAGTTGTTCCCTATATAGCTGTATCTTTGACTCACCTAATCAAATTCAGAGTTTCGGCCGTGTCTAGAATGACGAACACAGTCTGCGGTTGCTCGTGAGGCGCTCGCTGTAACAGAATGTGATTTTGATATGAATCAAATGTTCCCGTTTCCTCGCTGTTCTGCCCCTGGTTAAAGGTAGACATTTCTCTACCAAGTCGGTTCCTGAGTTGCTACAAAGATAGTAGCTTCTATCCAGAGAGAGAGAGAGAGACTATCACCACGCAAACACCGCAATGAATGAGAAGTATTCGTTCCGTGTAGCAGCGGGCTCGACTTGGGGGGAGTCGTGATCAAATCATTCCGCTAACCCTTCTATTACGGGAAGTGGAGTGAAAGTAGGGGAAATCCTCGATGACGTCAATCTTGGAGAGGCTATAAGGACACTGCTGACCTGTAAAACGATTCTTACCTTAACCCTAACCCTTACCCTAACTCTAACCTTAACCTAATTTTAACAAATTCTAAAATTAAATATCGGCTTGCAGGTTAGTAGTGTCCGTATAGCTTTTCCGTCAACCCTGAACGAAGGAGCGTTCGAGCTTTGACGGACAAGCCAGGGGTCCAATGAACGGGCCTGGTGGGCAGGGCTAAAGTGTTCTTCAGCCAATAGGATTGCTTAAAGAGAACCAAGAAATGACATAGGGCAGTCTAGAGGTTGTTTTTCACTTACCAAATATTTCATCCTCCAGTCACAAAGCTGAACCAGAAGCGAAATCAAATCAAGTCAAATCAATTTTTATTTTCACATGCGCAGAATACAACAGGTGTAGACCTTACCGTGAAATGCTTACTTACAAGCCCTTAACCAACAATGCAGTTTTAAGAAAATAGATTTAAGAAAATATTTACTAAATGAACTAAAGTTTAAAAAAAGAAAGTAACACAATAAAATAACAATAACGAGGCTTTATACAGGGGGTACCGGTACCGAGTCAATGTGCGGGGGTACAGGTTAGTCGAGGTAATTTGTACATGTAGGTAGGTGTAAAGTGACTATGCATAGATAATAAACAGCGAGTAGCAGCAGTGTAAAAGAGGGGGTGGGGTGGGGTGGGGTGGGGGACAATGCAAATAGTCCGGGTGGCCATTTGATTACAGTTTTTTACAATCACTTTGGCACTGATTTCAGAACCTTGACGTCATTTTTCAAAACTCTAGACACAAAACTCACAACCAAAGTGATCAAAATGCACATTTTTCAAAACTCTTAACACTTTTTTCAATTGCTTGGATACAATACACATAAAACTAAGATCATTTGTTCATTTAACAAAAATCACCTGTTCAATATGACACAACTTAACATCAAAGTACTACTATTTCAAAAGGCAATTCACACATTACATTTCAGATGAGTGTCTATTCATTTCATTACAATTATCCAACTATCAAGTGATACAACTGCTCAAAATGATAAGTAACTGTTGCATTACTCTTAATTCATAGTTGTATGGAAACAGACAAACAATATTCCATGTTAAGATCATGAAAGTTTCAAGATAACGAGATTCATTGTCACCAATTAGCGTGGAGCATGAAGCAATTAGACTACATTATCTATGGGATGTAATATTTCATCATCATTCTTTATCAGACACCGTTTCTATGGTCCTATGTACCACCTTTTCAGACTATTTACAGTATTGACAATACTGCACTGTATGGATGCAGGCCCTTGTAATTGCTTGTCCAATTCTGCCAACTCGTTACTGATGATTGAGTTCACATTAAGGAACGAGTATATAAAGAATTGATTGGGATCCACTTGCAACAACATAGCGATATACGTACTGTAACATGGAGCCGGCAGGTGATCCAGGTCACAATAGAGGTCAAGCAGTGGTGGGAGGAAGACGAGGAAGACGTGTTGGTCAAAGGAATGGCAGGGGACAAGCACCCCTTCTGAGAGGTGGTCGTGGGCCTCGTTTGAGAGGTGTGGGGGGAACGTGGTAGAGGACAAGGCCACGGACCAAGACAGCGGCAGCAACAGCAAAGAGTGACCAATGAAATCCGAGCAATAGTTGTAGACCATGTCATAAATCATGGCATGACAATGACTGAGGCGGCTACAATGATACAACCAAACCTCAGAAGGTCAACCGTGGCCTCAATAATCAGAACTTTCCGCAATGAGAACCGGTAAGTCGTCAGCATGCACTAAACATTACGCTACTCTCAAATGTCAAATGACTGCATACCAATGTGTATCACAGAGTAGGTGATGTGACCAAGTGTCTTCTTACTGTAATGTTTACATTTAAGTCATTTAGCAGACGCTCTTATCCAGAGCGACTTACAGTTAGTGAGTGCACACATTATTTTTTTATACAGGCCCCCCGTGGGAATCAAACCCACAACCCTGGCATTGCAAACGTCATGCTCTACCAACTGAGCTACTTCCCTGCCGGCCATTCCCTCCCCTACCCTGGACGACGCTTGGCCAATTGTGCGCCGCCCCATGTTCCCTGTAGAATTGAGACTAAGCCAAATAGGGGAGGCAGAGGCAAAATTCTGACTGACCAACAAGAGCAGGCTGTAGTCGATTTGGTTCGGGCCAGAAATGATATTCGCCTTACAGAAATTCGCCAGCATATCTTGGACAATGAAGACATGTTTAACAATGTGGAATCCATAAGTTTGCCGACTATTGCACGCATGCTGGAAAGGCACCAGGTGTCTTTAAAACAACTATACCATGTGCCTTTTGAAATAAATGCAGACAGAGAGAAGCAAATGAGGACTGAGTATGTTCAGGTATGTTCCGTTTCAAGATGGCTGTTGTAATAAAATACCCTAATAATTCTACATTGTACAGTAATCAGTAAATCTCTTTCCAAAATGTATTTTTAGAGGGTGATGGAGCTGGATGCTGATGACAACCATCACAAATTCATATATTTGGATGAGGCAGGCTTTAACCTGGCCAAGACAAGGAGGAGAGGTCGGAATTTCATTGGCCAGCGGGAAACCATCCAAGTACCTGGACAACGTGGGGCCAACATTACCATGTGTGCGGCTATAACAGAAGATGGTGTGGTGGGACGCAGACCTCGTATTGGATCATATAATGCAGCTCTCCTTGTAACCTTCCTTGATGAGCTCGATCAGGTCTGTAGAGCCGATGGCGTGACTGTCACGGTTTCGGCCGAGGCTGCTCCTCTTCCTTGTTCGGGCAGGCTTCGGCGGTCGTCGTCTCCGGAGTACTAGCTGCCACCGTTCTATGTTTCATGTTCGTTTGGTTTTGTCTCTTTGTAACACCTGTCCCTTGTTTGTGTTTGATTGTGTTCCCTATTTAGTTTCGTTTGTCTGGGTCAGGTGTTATGCGTGATTGTATTTTTGTCAGCTTGCCACAGAGGAGTTTGTTCTCTCTCGTTTGTTGTAATTTCGAGAGTTCGCACTGCGTGCGCTTTTTCTTGTTTTCCACACTGTGTGTTGTGCGTAATTGTTCGCGCCGCCCGGTTGGGTTGGCGACTCTTTACCTGATTTGGATTTACTAAAGTCTGTTGAAGTCATCCTTGTTCCTGCGCTTGATTCCCTACACTCATCCACACACAGCACTCTGACAGTGACCTATGTCATTGTGTGGGATAATGTCAGGTTCCACCATGCTCATATGGTGCAAGCATGGTTTCAGGCCCATGCACAATTTACCATCCTGTATTTACCCCCATACTCTCCTTTCCTTAACCCGATTGAGGAATTTTTCTCCACATGGAGATGGAAGGTTTATGATCGGCGCCCTCATGAACAAGTCACTCTTCTCCAGGCCATGGATGACGCATGCAATGACATCACGGCAGACCAGTTTCGGGCCTGGATTCGCCATGCCCGAAGGTTTTTTCCAAGATGTTTGACTAATGAAAACATCCATTGTGATGTAGATGAGAACCTGTGGCCAAATCCACAAGACAGAGTTGATGAAAATGTAGAAGTACAGTAATCACTCCTATGTTTTGCTTTTTACAGTACAAGCAAGCAAGTTGAGGAACACTGCATTTGATGTTTTAGTTTCGTTTGTCTGGGTCAGGTGTTATGCGTGATTGTATTTTTGTCAGCTTGCCACAGAGGAGTTTGTTCTCTCTCGTTTGTTGTAATTTCGAGAGTTCGCACTGCGTGCGCTTTTTCTTGTTTTCCGCACTGTGTGTTGTGCGTAATTGTTCGCGCCGCCCGGTTGGGTTGGCGACTCTTTACCTGATTTGGATTTACTAAAGTCTGTTGAAGTCATCCTTGTTCCTGCGCTTGATTCCCTACACTCATCCACACACAGCACTCTGACAGTGACCTATGTCATTGTGTGGGATAATGTCAGGTTCCACCATGCTCATATGGTGCAAGCATGGTTTCAGGCCCATGCACAATTTACCATCCTGTATTTACCCCCATACTCTCCTTTCCTTAACCCGATTGAGGAATTTTTCTCCACATGGAGATGGAAGGTTTATGATCGGCGCCCTCATGAACAAGTCACTCTTCTCCAGGCCATGGATGACGCATGCAATGACATCACGGCAGACCAGTTTCGGGCCTGGATTCGCCATGCCCGAAGGTTTTTTCCAAGATGTTTGACTAATGAAAACATCCATTGTGATGTAGATGAGAACCTGTGGCCAAATCCACAAGACAGAGTTGATGAAAATGTAGAAGTACAGTAATCACTCCTATGTTTTGCTTTTTACAGTACAAGCAAGCAAGTTGAGGAACACTGCATTTGATGTTTTACAGTACTGTATTGTTTTTCAGCAATATATTTCAGATTTTGTTCAATGATTCCACTGTGTCTGTAGTATTCTCTCTACTACTGCAGTACTTTTACAGGGATGTATTTACATGTAGTACCATAATGAAACATGTATCACCTATTTTGTACTACAATATTTAATGATTGTACCAACAATGACACAGTGAAACTATCGGTTGCTTGTGTGTGGGTGATCTAAATGAACGTTTCATTGGTATTTCAAAATACATTTGTTTTTTGAACCAATGATTGTACAAGTGCAAGATTTCTTTCAAGATATGAATGCACAATGCAATGTTTTGAACATTGGACAGCCTGTGTTACAAGTGATGACCGTTTTGAGTTTTGTGTCTAGAGTTTTGAAAAATGACGTCAAGGTTCTGAAATTAGTGCCAAAGTGATTGTAAAAAACTGTAATTGTTCAGCAGCGTTTTGGACCTATACTTGGCGCTCCGGTACAGCTTGCCGTGCGGTAGCAGAGAGAACAGTCTATGACTTGGGTGACTGGAGTCTTTGACAATTTATTGGGGCCTTCTCTGACATCGCCTGTTATATAGGTCCTGGGATGGCAGGAGCTTGGTCCTATTATTCGTGGTCCTTGTAGCTTCAGTCTGGTAGAGCCACGGCGCTTGTAATCGGCAAGGTAGTGGGGTTCGATCCCCAGGACCACCCATACACAAAAAAATGTATGCACACATAA